GATGGATGATGTTATATTATGTTATATTGATTGTGTAGATGATAGTGTAGTTGATGTAGTGTGGATGACAGTGTTGTGTTGTAGTGTAGTGGATGTAGTTTTGATGACAGTAGACATGTGATGCTATAGTGAACATGTGTTGTGGTAATTATAGTGAATCTGTGTTGTTTTATAGTGAGCATAGTCTTTATCCGTAATTATCACTATCATCTACACTATATCCACTTCACCACAACACTACACTATGGTCGCCTCACTGTCTTCAACGAACCTTTAAGTACACACACACACACACACACACACACACACACACACACACAAGTAATCAAATCAACATAATTAAATTAAACTCTACCTGAAGTTTTATAATTAATTACCTGTTATCTTGCCCAGGATAATTACTCTCGCCTATCGTCCGGTTATTAGATTCGGTTACCAAAGGTTGACTGAGACGCTCAGCTTCTTCCATCAGGTGTAATAAAAATGACTGGGGGTTTTTCAGTTACTAGTGATTCGTCTACATGTGTTAGTATGATTCAATTGACACCTGGCTGAGTATTGCCTGGACATCACCTTGTTAAGATTATTCCACCACTAACCATCCATCCATCCATCCATCCATCCATCCATCCATCTATCTATCCATCTAACCAAACATCCATCCATCCATCCATCCATCCATCCATCCATTCATCCATCCATCCATCCATCCATCCATCCATCCTCAGCCCTAAAATAACAACACTCACATTTACCACCTCGAGTACCATGGTTCAGCGGAGGAATCGAACCTGTGACCACAAACTTGCGAGGCGAGACACCGAGCTACTGTTCCACCTGAATTATACCGCCGAGCTGTATGTCTATTGGCTGACAATTATAGGAGATCGAATAATTTATTGGAAGGGATGATGTTATTCCCGATGTAGAAGAGAAAAAAGATAGAAAGGAAGCAGGAGGAAAGAGGAAAGAAAGGAAGCAGAAAGAGGAGAAGGTGGTGAAGAGAGAGATTATTCTCAGCAGTCGTTATTCTTAATTATTTGTTGTCGTTGTTGTCATTTTTGTTATTGTCGTTATTTTTATATTTGTAGTCGTCATTTTGTTGTTGTCGTTGTTGTTGTTGTATAAGGTGTTTGATCATTTATATTCTTTAATTAGGGTTGGTCATAGAGGTGAGGTATCCTAATTTGCATATGGTTTAAGATTCTTCTAATAATAGTGTAAGAAATATTTAGTTGTAGGAACATCCCAATCTCTCCCCACCCCTTCGTCTCCCTTCCCCACACACACACACACACACACACACACACACACACACACACACACACACACACCACACACACACACACACACACACAAGGTTCAGAGGCAGAAAATCATGTTATTCCAGTAGAGTGAAGAGACAATCCCAGCGGTGTGTGTCTGCCATACCTGTCAGCTGGGGAAGTGTGTGTCATCCATAACAAAAACAGCTGGGGGTGTCAACCATCCAAAATGGCTGACTGAAAGTGTGTGTCAACCATCCCGAATCAGGTGGCTGGAGCGGCGTGTGTCTGCCATCCAGGTCCCCCACGCTATACATGCCCCTCCTATCTGGTATTGACAGTTAAATGTGCATGTGGATGTTACCGACTCAGCCACACGACATGTAAGGGATCCGCGACACCACACACACACACACACACACCACACACACACACACACACACACACACACACACACACACACACACACACACACACACCTTGTTGGCTAAAGTATTTTATTATATTTTTTAATCGCTTTAATGCCTAGGGTGGTCTGGAGTCAAGAGTTAATACGTACATACTCATGGGAAATACATACATACATACATACATACATACATACATACATCTCTCTCTCTCTCCAACGTGACCCAGGATGACCCAGCGTGACCCAGGATGACCCAGTCAGTAATGGTATCCACTCCTTTACGCCCATCGTTTCTGTCACTTCATCATGTATAGTCTCAGTGTACTTTCGACGCCATTGCTAATCTCCTAATCTCTCTCTATAACTTTTAACGCCAATCAGGTAAAACGAGGCGTCGGGATTATATAACAGAGTGGCTATAATCTGCCAGGTTAGAATTATGGGTTTAGTGTTTTATCTCGTTCAATTGTGGGTTTTAAAAGTAGTTATTGTTTCTGTGAAGTTTTAAGAACATTTTTGTCCGGTGGTTTAGGGTTTATTGCGTGTACAGTAAAGAACGAGTCACGGACGAGTAGAGAACGAGTCACGGATGCCACGTACACGACGACCCGCTCGGTTCTATGACACTCTCGGGTACTTGTATTTAGATTTAGTTATACATTTTCAACACGTACGTAGTAAAATATGTTGATGTGCAATATTTTAAGGCACACAGAGGTTGCAGCCGACGTTAGGTACCATGTGATTGCAATATTTTTATCCAGACTTTGCAACATGACGATACCAACACTAAAAAAGATCAAGTCATTGCAATATTTCTGCAGCATTTGTCAGACCAACATACCCCGTGATTGCAATATTCCTAGGCAGAATAACATATTGCAATATTATCAAATTAATATTAACCTAGTGATTGCAATCTCCTTAACATGAGAAATATTGCAGTATTGTCAATCTAACGTTAACCGAGCATTTGCAATATTTTTTAAAACACATAGATATGTCTGCAACATATACTAGATTGATATTGAACCGCACAAGATACTGCAACAAGGTCTTCATAGATACTGCAACATGCACACATGCCACATAAGACACTGCAACACACACACCACATAAGGCACTGCAACACACACACACAACATAAGACACTGCAACACACACCACATAAGACAATGCAACACACACCACAAGACACTGCAACACACACCACATAAACACTGCAACACACACCACATAAGACACTGCAACACACACCACATAAGAACTACTGCAACACACCACATAAGACAATGCAACACACACCACAAGACACTGCAACACACACCATAAACACTGCAACACACACACATAATACACTGCAACACACACATACACATAAGACACTGCAACACACACCACATAAGACACTGCAACACACACACACACACAACACCTGCATATCACACATACACATAAGACACTGCAACACACACCACATAAGACACTGCAACACACAACAGGAATTAAAGATGGTTCACTGCAATCCAGGTAGCCATTGCAATATTATCCGATCAACATATAAAATAACAACAGGTGATTGCAATATTGCCAAGTGAAGTAGCATCAACAGACGTAAGGGGGAAGGTGATGGAAGGGGGGTGATGAAACAAAGAACCAGGGATGTGCGCCTTTAAAATCAATATCATGCACTAGTGTAAACAACGGTGATAATTTACAGTGTGAAGGAGAGAAGAGAGAGATAGAGATGAGAGAGGGGGATAAGGAGGAGGTGGGAGGGGGAGTAGGAGAGATAGAGAAAAAGGAGGGGGATAGAGAGGGAGGAGGTGGGGTATGGAGAGAGCGAGAGTGGGAAGGAAGATGTAGGGGAGGGAGGAGGGGAAGAGGCAAAGGGAAGGAAAAGAGAGAGAGAAAGTGGGAGAAAAAGAGAGCACGGGCGAGAGAGAGAGAAGGAAGGGATAGATAGAGAGAGTGGGTGGGGAAAGGAGAGAGAGAGTGTAGCATATTTTGCCCACATCTTGTTACCAGACTCCTTAAGTTCCTTCGGATATACTTGCCTGCACACCTGCCTCTGACGACACACCAGATACCTACACACCTGCTTCTGATGACACACCTGAAATCTACACTCTTGAGACCTACACACCTGCAGACTTAAATGCCTACACACTTGTACACTACAGATCTACATACCCATACACCACACACCTGTACACTTCCATACCTGAAGTGATACATACCTGTACACTCCTCACCTGACCACTACACACCTACACAGTCCTCACCTGACCACTACACACCTGCAAACCTACACACCTGAAGAATTACACACCTACATACCTGTACACTACACACCTGAAAACCTATACCACTGTACACTCCTCACCTGACCATTACACACCTGCAGACCTTACACTAAAACTTAAACACCTGAAGAACCTACACTCCTGTACAGTCCTTACCTGACCACTACACACCTGCAGACATATACACCAGAAGACTTACCTGAAGATCTACACACCTGTAATCCACAAGGCAATAACCCGTCGCCCACACACACACACATATATCTACATACATTTATCAGGTATATTTCACTCTAATTTGAATACCTTGTAAAATATGAACATCAGAGGGCATCACTGTCAAGGTCGTTTAAAGCTGCGTTACTCACACTAGCCGGACGTTACCTAGAGTCCAACACGCGCTCTGTCCCCGAACACCTTCCCTTCACCACAGCTCTCAGAAGTCTGTTTATAGGCTGTTATATTATTATGAATTGTCAATTAAAATCAGGAAATTAATAGTTTTTTAATCGATTAGAAAATGTGGATTAATTTAGTGTTATTTATTGTTAATGTTAATTTATCATATTTCGTGTTTTTTATTATATTTTATTTATTTTTATTTTTACTTTTATTTGTGTTCTGTTTTGTTATTCCATCAGAGTATAGAGGAATATTTATGTAAGTATGATTGTGTGTGTGTGTATACTGTATATATGTATGTATGTATGTATGATTATGTATATGTATTGTGGAGGTTAAGTTATGGTAATGAGAGACCAGGTGGGAGTTTTAATAATGGTGAAAAGTGTGCTTAATGATTTTTACCTGTGAATAATGTTGTTGATAATAATGTATTATATGAGAGAGAGAGAGAGAGAAATATGACTCGTTGAATAATCTTTATTTAAAAATCATCTGTATAGTGAGAGGTGAGTTACCTGACGAAAGGCTGACTCACCTGAAGAAGGACTGACCCACCTGACGAAAGGCTGACTCACCTGAAGAAGGGCTGACTCACCTGACGAAGGGCTGACTCACCTGAGGAAGGGCCTGGAGGTATGATTCAGGTACCACAGCACTAGGTTGAGGGTGTCGTCAGGATAGTGAGGGTGGCGGCAGGGTAGTCGAGCCGTGTCGCCCCTGGCTACCGTCACGTCTACCAGCGGACCTGAACGAGAGGGCGTGGGTGTGAGTCATGGTCGCTGAGTGTGGGCGTGAGTCATGATAGCTGAGAGGGCGTAGGCGTGAGTCTTAGCTGAGAAGGTGTAGGCGTGAGTCATGGGCTAGAGTAGGAGTGTAGTAGTCACGGTAGCTGAGAGGGGTAGGCGTGAGTCTTGGTAGCTGGGTTGGGCGTGCGTCATGATGGCTGAGAGGACGTAGGCGTGGTCATGGTAGCTGAGTGTGGGCGTGAGTCATGATAGCTGATAGGGCGTGGGCGTGAGTCATGGTAGTTGAGTGTGGGCGTGAGTCATGCTAGCTGAGAGGCGTGGGCGTGGTCATGGTAGTTGAGTGTGGGCGTGAGTCATGCTAGCTGATGGGGCGTGGGCGTGAGTCATGGTAGTTGAGTGTGGGCGTAGTCATGATAGCTGAGAGGGAGCGTGGGCATGAGTCTTGTAATGGAAATTTGGACGTAAAAAACACACACACACACACACACACACACACACAGTTTAATCCTCCTCTCCTTCCTCCTTCCCTCCTCCCCCTTCCTCTCTCTCTCTCCCGGACCCATTAACGTATCCTGCAGGACTTTACAGCACGTGAAGGATACCAACAGGCAGCCAGGGCAAGGGCGTAGGAGTGGACAGGAGGAGGAAGGAGTGTCTTGAGGAGCAGTACGTTGTGTGGGCACTGTGGGGGAGGGTGGGGGGGAGTTAGTGCCGTTGTTGTACGACGAGGATAAGAGGTGAGGGATGTGGAGAATACCAAGAGGGGTGAAAGTCAGAGAGAGAGAGAAAGAAAGAAAGTGGTTAGAGTGAGCAGTTTTCGCCCTAATAGGTATACACAACTACAAACACAAATTACACGCATGCATACGCACACGCCACATATGCATATAAACAGTTGTGTATTCAAATGTGTACAAATATAAAAGAGACATTTATGTGTGTGTGTGTGTGTGTGTGTGTGTGTGTGTTGTGTGTGTGTGTGTGTGTGTGTGTGTGTGTGTGTGTGTGTGTGTGTGTGTGTAGCACCTCACAGTCGCCACACATCAGACCTTCCGCTGTAAAGTCTACGGTCACCTCAACCCACGTTTCACTTACTCTGCTCACACTTCATCTTATTCTATTGATTTAACAGTGTGTGTGTGTGTGTGTGTGTGTGTGTGTGTGTGTGTGTGTGTGTGTGTGCGTGTGTGTGTGTGTGTGTGTGTGTGTGTGTGTGTGTGTGTGTGTGTGTGTGTGTGTGTGTGTGTGTGTTGTCGCCAGCACCTCACAGTCTCCACGCAACACTACGGTCCCTCAACCCACGTTTCCTTACTCTGCTCGTGACACTTCATCTTATTCCTATTGATTTTAACAGTGTGTATGTGTGTGTGTGTGTGTGTGTGTGTGTGTGTGTGTGCGTGTGTGTGTGCGTGTGTGTGTGTGTGTGTGTGTGTGTGTGTGTGTGTGTGTGTGTGTGTGTGTGTGTGTGTGTGTGCATGGCACCTCACAGTCGCCACCGCAACACCCGACAGCTGTAAAAGTCTGGTCACCTCAACCCACGTTTCACTTACTCTGCTCATGACACTTCATCTTATTCTATTGATTTTAACAGTGTGTGTGTGTGTGTGTGTGTGTGTGTGTGTGTGTGTGTGTGTGTGTGTGTGTGTGTGTGTGTGTGTGTTTTGTCGCCAGCACCTCACAGTCGCCACCGCAACACGACCTTCCGCTGTACAAGTCTACGGTCACCTCAACCCCACGTTTCACTTACTCTGCTCGTGACACTTCATCTTATTCTATTGATTTTAACAGGTGTGTATGTGTGTGTGTGTGTGTGTGTGTGTGTGTGTGTGTGTGTGTGTGTGTGTGTGTGTGTGTGTGTGGTGTGTGTGTGTGTGTGTGTGTGTGTGTGTGTGTGTGTGTGTGTGTGTGTGTGTGTGTGTGTGTGTGTTGTGCAGCACCTCACAGTCGCCACCGCTAACACCCGACCTTCCGCTGTAAAGTCTACGGTCACCTCACCCACGTTTCCTTACTCTGCTCGTGACACTTCATCTTATTCTATTGATTTTAACAGTGTGTATGTGTGTGTGTGTGTGTGTGTGTGTGTGTGTGTGTGTGTGTGTGCGTGTGTGTGTGTGTGTGCGTGTGTGTGTGTGTGTGTGTGTGTGTGTGTGTGTGTGTGTGTGTGTGTGTGTGTGTGTGTGTGTGTGTGTTGTCCCTAGCACCTCCAGTCGCCCACGCAACACCGACCTTCCGCTGTAAAGTCTACGGTCACCTCAACCCCGCTTCCCTCTCTCGTGACACTTCATCTTATTCTATTGATTTTAACAGTGTGTATGTGTGTGTGTGTGTGTGTGTGTGTGTGTGTGTGTGTGTGTGTGTGTGTGTGTGTGCGTGTGTGTGTGTGTGTGTGTGTGTGTGTGTGTGTTGTCGCCAGCACCTCGAGTGCCCTACCACCTGCTCTCGATGTAAAGTCTACGGTCACCTCAACCCACGTTTCACTTACTCTGCTCGTGACACTTCATCTTATTCTATTGATTTTAACAGTGTGTGTGTGTGTGTGTGTGTGTGTGTGTGTGGCCAGCACCTCACAGTCGCCACACGCAACACCGACCTTCCGCTGTAAAGTCTACGGTCACCTCAACCCACGTTTCACTTACTCTGCTCGTGACGTTTCATCTTATTCTATTGATTTTAACAGTGTGTGTGTGTGTGTGTGTGTGTGTGTGTTTCACCTCCACCCAACCTAAAAGTCCCCCTCACACTCTCTGATTCATCTTATTCTGATTTTAACAGTGTGTGTGTGTGTGTGTGTGTGTGTGTGTGTGTGTGTTATCTGTTTGTGTATGTTTGCTTGTTACCGTCTGAGGACTGTTGTGTTTTTGTATATTTGTATATGTATGAGTTTGTTTATGTATATTTTGTGTGTGTGTGTGTGTACTTTTTATGCATACATTTCCGTGTATGGAGGTGTACTTGTGAGCGTATTGTGTATGATGTGTTTGTTTATGTGCGTTCTCGCGGTTAAGTGTACGTACATGTGAACGTAATTCGTAGATGTGTTCTTTATCTGCGAGTTTGGCTGGCTGAGTGCATACAACACTCGCCTCCTGTGCTAAAGGTTGGTGGTCTGATCCCGGGGCGCGCACAGTCCACCCAGCTGTAAATGGGTACCCTCATTTTTCTCCCTCATCATCCTCACTCCTCCCTCCCATCCTCCCTCCCTCCTCCTCCTCCTCCCTCCCTCCCTCCCTCCCTCCCTCCCTCCCTCCTCACTCTCCTCCTCCTCCTCCCTCCTCCCTCACTCTCCCTCCTTCTTCCCTCCTTCTCTCCTCCCTCCCTCACTCTCCCAACCCCTCACTCTCCCTCCCAATGAGCCAGGTATAGCCTCCTTCAGATCACTAGATTACGTGTCAGACGCAAGATTCTCAACTAATACTATGAATAATCCTGTAACTAATCCTATAAGTAATCCTACAGGACCTACAACTAATCTTAACTAATTCTACATCAAATATTACAACTAATTCATGCAACCAATCATAACTAATCCTATAACATTCTATAACTAATCCTACAAATCACAATCATGGCTAATCCTACAGCTAATCGCAACTAATCCAGTCATAACTAATCCTACAGCTAATCGCAACTAATCCAATAATAACTAATCCTACAGCTAATCATATTTAATCAACGGGGAAATATAGACAACTATACAAACCGGAAGTAGACACACTCGGGTTAATTAGGACGCCATTTTAGATTCTGTGTGAGGTATAAAAGGAGAGAGAGAGAGAGAGAGAGAGAGAGAGAGAGAGAGAGAGAGAGAGAGAGAACGCTGATGAATATATGAATAACAGGTAGATAAATGATAAAGGAGGAAGATAAATAATGAATGAAGGTATAAATAAAAGAGAATATCGTGTTGGGGGGAAAAGAAAGCGAGAGAGAGAGAAGGTGGGAGGAGAAAGAAAGAACGAAAGAAAGAAATTGAAAGCGAGAGAGAGAGAAGGAGAAAGAGAGAGAGAGAGATAAATCATAACTTTGTGCTGGTAATCAAAAGTTGGAGGGGTTGATGTGTTTGTTTATATATACGATTAGTTTTGTCTCCCTGAACGATAACTTTGTGGTGCTGTTGTTGTTGTTGTCAGAATACTTCGTTTGTTCCTTGTGTTTTTTTTTTCATTTTTTGATGATTTTTTATTTGTAATTTTAAGAATATTTTTTTGGTTTTGGTATTGGAGTGGATTTTTTTTTTAGATTTATAGAAGTTATATTGGAACGTTTTTAGAAGGATTTATTACACGTCAGGTATTTTTTTTCTTTTGTGTACATGGATTCTGGCAAGTAAAGATAGATTTATATATTACGAGTTTATTAAAAGGTTATGAGTTAAAAGTCTCTTGTTATTAATAATCCTTACTCGTGTTTGTAGCTCGGGGACAAAAACCAATAATATTGCCATGTTTTTCAAAAGAACATATTCAGTGATAGTGATCTCTAGGTCTGTGATGTCAACATTATCGTAGGTATTTCTAGAATAATATCGTATTTAGGGGGAGGATGGGGGTTGGGGATGGTGGGGAGGGATGGGGGTTGGGATGGTGGGGGAGGGATGGGGGTTGGGGATGGTGGGGGAGGGATGGGGGTTGGGGATGGTGGGGAGGATGATGGGGGTACAGTTGGTGAAGGGGTGGCAGGGGAGGAGGGGGGGAGAGTCAACACACATATCTGACTCGCTTTTAGATATACCAAAGGTTATATACTGTCAGATTGAGTCAGTTTCTGTCAGGATTATCTCACAGATAGTGGAAAATATTCTCACTGTAAGGAATTCGGCCAGCGGTAACGATCACTGGTGATATGTGTACTTTGTTGTTGAAGTATTTAATATTTTTTTTTATTGGTATTCACTTTTTTTTTCGTCTATAAAGTAAAAATTCTGAATTGTGTATAAAGTAAGAATTCTAAATTGTGTCTAAACTTAGAATTCTAAATAAAAGATATCCCCCGATAAGGT